GTGTGATATGAGACTTCTTCCCCAAAACAATACGAAGAGAGAAATGACAGGATCTGATTGTTTTTTTTTTCTGAAAGGAATATTCCGGTTGCTAGCTTAGGAAGAGATAATAAAGAAGTGAGGGCAGACACAGGGAGACCTGTTAGGGAGGCTACAGGAGTAACTGGGTTGAGAGATGCTGCTGCTTGAACCAATGGTGGAAGCAGTGGGTGTGAAAAGTGGTGAAATCTGGATTTATTTTGGATGCAGAGCTCGTGAGATCTGCTGATAAACTGAATGTAGTTTGTGACAGAAGTCAAAATGACTTGGGGGATTTTAACCTGAATACTGGTACTGTGAAGGTGCTCTTTCCTGAGATAAGAAAGACTGCAAAAGAAGCAGGTTTAGAAGGGCAATAGTAAATTTTATTAGGTGTATGTTAAGTTTGTGACATGTGCAGAGTTGCTGAATAATCAGTTGTACATACAACTCCAGATTTTAGGGAAATATTGAAGCTGGAGTTATAAATACAGAAAAGAAAGACATGTAAATGTTATTTAAAGCAACGAGGCTGAAGATAGGAAAGAGAGGAATGAATATCAGGGTAAGATAAGAGAGTGGGGAGGAGAGAGGCACAAGCATGTGGCGTGAGCATTCGGATTGCAGGAAGTACTGCTTCGTTATTTATTGTCTTCAGAGGGCGTTGGCAATGTAGAGGCTCTAGTGGCCCTAAGTGGTTATTTCCTTTCAGTGGAATTCATCTGATCATTTGCCATTTACTTATATTTGGTCTAAATCTCAAACTCCTGCTCACTCACTCCCCTCCCTTCGAGCCTGCGTCACATTTGTTTTGAATGTCCTTATTGGTAGAGCAGCTTCATCTGAGTGTAAAATGCATTCTCGAAAACTTTCAAAGGTAATTTGGGGATTCATCTGGTGAATAAAATGGGTGACCAAGTTGGTTAATATTGCTTTTGATCAAGTATGAGGGAAGGCTACTCAGTGACATCACCAAGTTTGCTGTGGTTTTCTTGCCGGATCTAAAAGCAAAGCCAACAGGCATGTTCTAAAATGTTTTGAGTAGTGACAATGCTACTGAAATAACAATTTATTTTCCAAGAGGACTATTTCAATTAATATACCACATACATATATGAGTTTATCTAACTTGACACGTTTTAATATTCTATTTTTATAATATACATTTATATAGCTACTTAAGTTAATCTTCCTTTCCCAGCCAAAGAATTTCTATTTTATTTTATTATTTTATTTTATTTTATTATATATAGTTTTGAGGTTAGACATGTTTATATTGATCATGCTATTACAGTTGTCCCAATTTTTCCCTCTTTGTCCCCCTCACCCAGCATCCTGCACTCCCTCCAGCAATTCCCCCTCTTTTGTTCATGTCTGTGGGTCATGTGTATAATTTCTTTGGCAACTCCATTTCCTATACTTGCTCTTAACAACCCTCTGACTATTACATTACTACCAATTTGTATTTCTTAATCCCTTTACCTTTTCCCCCATTCCTCCAGACCCCCCTCCACACTGGCTACCATTCCACTGTTCTCCATATCTATCATTGTTTCTCCTCTGTTTGTTTGCTTAGTTTGTTTTTTAGATTTAATTGTTAATAGTTATGCATTTATTTCCATTTTATTGTTCATAGTTTTGATTTGCTTTTGTTCCTTAAATGAGTCCCTTTAATATTTCATATAATAATGTTTTTGGTGATGATGAACTCCTTTAACTTTACTTTGGGAAGCACTTTATCTGTCCTTCCATTCTAAATAACAGCTTTGTTGGATAGAGTAATCTTGATTGTAGGTCCTTGCTTTTCATCACTTTGAAAACTTCTTTCCAATCCCTTCTAGTCTGCAAGGTTTCTTTTGAGAAGTCAGCTGACAGTCTTAGGGAAACTCCTTTGTAGGTAATTATCAGCTTTTCTCTTGTCCTCTTTGGGTCCAACTTGTTCGGGACTCTCTGAGCTCTGGCACTATATTTCCTTCACCAAATTAGGGAAGTTTTCTTCTATTATTTTTTCGAGTAGGTTTCCAATTTCTTGCTGTTTTGCTTCTCCTTCTGGCACCCCTATGATGTGAATGTTGGAATGTTTGAAGTTGTACGAGAGGGAAGTTATTCTGGATATTTTGGATTCTTTTTTTCTTTTTGCTGTACCCATTAGAGATGTCTTTTTTTTTCTTATGTTCCAAAATATTGATTTAATTTTTGGCTTCATCCACTGTTGATTCCTTGTAAATTATCCTTTATTTCAGTTACCATATCCTTCATTTCTGCCTGGGTCTTTTTTATGTCATCAAAGTACCCACTGAGTTCTTTGAGCTTCCTTATAACCAGTGTTTTGAACTCCGCATCTGATAGATTCCTTATCTTCATTTTCTTTAGTTCTTTTTCTGAAGTTTTGCTCTATTCTTTCATATGGGCCATATTTTTTGTCTCCTCATTTTGGCAGCCTCCATGCGTTTGTTTCTATGTATTAGGTAGAGATGCTTTGACTCTGTGTCTTGGTAGCATGGCCTAATACAGTAGGTGTCGTCTAGGATCCAGTGGCACAACCTCACTTATCTCCCAAGCTATGTGCTTGAGGTGCTCCCTCTGTGTGGACTGAGTATACCCTCGTCATGGAGATGAGTCTTTATTGCCGTCAGCAGGTCAATGGGAGGGATTTACCCAGTCCAGACAGCTGACAGGACTGGCTGTGATCCCTGGTCAGCAACCACCTCACTCTGTAGCTTGTGGAGATGGTTGGGTGGTGCTCTGACATGGTCGGTAACTGTCCACTGTGTGTGTACAGGGTCTGGGATTTCCCAGTTGGTGCAGGCCAAGGCCAGCCTCCACCTGTGTACTGTCCGGGACCCCTAGGCATGAGCTCTAAAGCAATCTGTAGATGGCTGCTGCTAGTGCCAGGCCTGGGGCGAGAGGTACAGGGGCTGGTCTCAGCTGTTGCTTGTTTGAGTGGATTTAGGATGGTCTGAAGCCTGTGCCTAGCCCAACACTTCATATGGAAGCAGCCTCTGCTACAATGGTGGGAAGGTTGGATGGGTGGGCTTCTTAGTTGGAAGTGATGGACCCTTAGGTAATTGTCAAGGAGGGACTTACCATTGAGCCAGGTTGATGGAGATTCAGATATGGTGCCGCCGCACTGTGGCTCTGTGTGGGGGAGGGCTTAGAAAGATACAATGGCCCCTGCCTGCAAGTCTGTCTGGGAGAAAGCTGTCTTCCAGCTCTTGCCATGATGCCCGACACTCGTTGTCCCCGTGTGCCACTGGTGCCCTTCAAGCTGCTGTACCAGTGCTGGAGCCCAGTGGGAGTGAGTCTGAGTACGTTTGTGTGTGGTGTGAGGCCCTTTAAGAAGAGAGATCTGAGAATCCTGCAGTTTCTTACCCCCACCCAACCCCCACTGGTTTTTATAGCCAAAAGTTATGGGGACTTATCTTCCTCATATGGAATCCTGGGCTGGTTGGTCCATTGTGGTGCTGGGACCCCTTGCTCCTGAGAAATCCCTCCATTTTATATACACCACACGTGGATTGGGGCCAGCACATCTCTGCGTCTCCACCCTTCATCCCTCCTACCCGTCTGAATGAATGTGGTTTCTTTAATTCCTTTGTTGTTGGACTTCCATATATTTCGATTTTCTGATGATTCTGAGTGATGATTTTTCTATGTTTTAGTTATAATTTTGCTGTGGTTTTGCAAGGAGGTGAGCTGCACTTGCCCACACTGCCACATTGACCAAAAGTCTCCATCAGCCTAAGAAATTTCTAAACAACTGCTATTCTTATTTAAGATGATTTTCTTATCAAAAGTAATTGATATTTTAATGAGTAAAAGTTGTACAAAAATACATTTAATAATATTTGCCAAACTATTATAAAATTGCTGATTGAAAACACCACAGATTTATAAACAAACATCATTGGGTATCTGGCTAAGACTAGGTTTGTAACAGGTGTATCCCTTGGAGATTATGCCAACTCTTTGTCCACTGAACAAATATTTATGAAGTTCTAGCATATTCCAGATGCATGGCATGTTGAGAAGAGTTTGCTCCTTTAAATCTTTCCAAGTACATCCTGAGGAAGATTTATATTCTCTCTTTATTCTTTATAAAGAAGAAAGACAAAATAGTGCTACTGACTTTTTCTACATCTGTGGAGTCTCCTGGGGAGTTTCACCATGTAGAGAACCCGTCTTGACTAGACTAGAGGAAGACCAGAGAAGCTGGTGGGGCTTAGAGTCACCCTTTTCTGTTTACTGCACCGCAGCTCACATCATTAGTAACTTACCTGTGTCACAGCAAGCTCCCTTTCTTACTTAATGACACGGCCCAATTGCTGTCCTTGCTTCTGGCTCAACCTAACTTAGGGATACTTGGGTGTAGTAGAGATGGCAGGTTTTAGGGTTTTTTTGGAGACTAACTACAGTTGCTGTTTTAGGCTCTGGAGATGGGTGTCTTGTCCTCAAACAATTTATTGCCTTTTGAGGAAAAAGAAATATTTGTGAGCAATTACATCAGAATATGATAACTCAAGGTGGTAAAAACTCAAGGTACAAGGGGAGTTTGAAGGGAAATCCTAAGACATCCTGGCTTCACAAAGAAGGTGCTGGCACTGCTCAAGGAGATGAGTAAATTCTCCAGCAAGCTCAGCATCAGGAGATAGTTGTAAACTCTTGGGAATGAAGCTGTTCTTTCTTTGGCACTTAGTACTTCAGCTAGTTCTGCTTTCTCAATGTTTTTTCACCAGCTTTTTCCTGACACTTCATTTTAAATAAAATCTGGCTTTCATTCTAGGATTTCCCCTGTGAAATATTTTAGTCCCCAACTCTCGCAATCACATTGAGGAAGAGCACTGTAATTGGTTCATCGCTCCTCACTTGAACTTGGTGGCTGGCCCCATTTCTCTCACTAATGTGGACATCAATTGCTTAATGGAGGCAAGTGATTTTTAAATGTAGGTTTACCTGCTTCTCATTAGCTGTGACAAACTTACAATGTTTTTCATGTGTTTCACTAGTATGGTCAGCTTCGCGTCTTCGTGTGATATGACTAACTGCACTTTAGGCGTCTTGTCAGGAGACTTCTCACCTGATAAAAAGATAGAATTTCTTCGGGTTAAATTGGAAGTGGCTCATCTGTGAAGAAAATAAACATTGAAGACTAAAATGGGACCAGTGGACAATATGCAAGAGAAAGGCTCTTCAGATCATGCTAAAAACATAACACTTTCTAGGAAACGGGCTTGGTGATGAATTTTTTAATCTAATCTTCCTGATCCAATTATTTCTCCTTATATTCCATGTTCTGTTTTGATTGATATCATTATTTTCCTAATTATCAAAGCTTGAAATCTCAGTGTCACTTGTGGCTCCACATTGCTTCTCAACGTTAAGTACAATGAGCTTAAAATATTAGAGAGCACAGAAGTTGAAAGGGTTGGTGTTAGAAGTCAGTGGGCCTGTGGTTCAGGTGGCAGTCCCCCAGACTGACACAATTTCTCTAAATCATCTTCTGTGAAATGGAGGTAACAGTTACCTGCTTCAGGATAGTTGGGATGATGAACTGATACAATTCAAAAGTTTTCACAATATAATCACTCCATAAATGTTTATGATTACTAATATTTTACTTCCTCACACTCATCTCTATTTCCTATTATACTCATCTCTTCCTTTCTAGTTCCATGGCACCTAGTTCTCAGGCATATGGATCTCTTGCCTGAACTACTAGAACATTCTCTTCTCTTCAAGAACCCAGATCTATCTGCGCACAATCACCAGTATAATTTCCTACAGAAACTTTTATAACAATACTCTTTTGATCAAAGTACTATTCATAGTTCTCATAACCATTGGTTATGAAAAAAGTCTGAATTTATCAGCCTCATAGCTTCTTGAATATGTTTTATCACCCACTATTATTATTCCATACTATAGCCAGTGAGTTCATTTCTACAAAATCCCTGTGCTATTTTCTTCCAGACATTTCTCATATTATTCCCTTTTTTTAAATGATCTTGTCCACCATATTTGGCCATTGATCTTTTACCTTTCTACAAGGTCTATTTAACATGAAAAATAGGTACTGTGGTCACCTCCTTCTGAATCCCCATAAAACAGCCTATCCCTTCATATTTATAGCGTAATTATTTTACATGTCTAAATTTGCTTTTTGGGTTATAATATCCTTCAGGGCCTATTTTCCCCTTACATCTCCAAGAAATATATAAATCAGTACTTGCTCCATAATATTACAATAAGCATTTATTTAATAACAATAATAACCTCAATTTTTCTTCCAAGTTATATCATTCTATTATTAATATGAAAGCTTGTTTTTTAATTAAAAATTTCCAGTTTATAGCCCAAGGATTAAGCATAATTTACATTTTTTCTTCTATTTCTCTTGGTAATCACTGTTTGTTCTCTGAGGGAATTTAGTGAGAAGAAATTTATTAATAATAAGGAATTTGGCAATGTTATGTTGTAGCGTCATTGTGGACTCACTGTGGTCCATCATGAAGTTTCTGATAGTCTTAGCTCTCTAATTCTGTCTAACACTTGAAAATGAAACATAGGATGTATGTTTCCTCTTTCAAAGCCATCTACACATTTATTAGAACAGTTTACATACTGTAGGGAGGCAATATTAATCAATTTTATTAATGTGAATTACTTACATTAAAGTAATTAAAATAGCCATTTTGAGTGTTTTTTTACAACTGAAAGGGCATTACATAAATATAATAGACAACTTTCTCCCTTAAAATATCTTGATTACAATGACTGGGAGACTTTCTGAGTTAGAGCTACTATGAGTGATTCTGTGTAGTAGTGAATTTGAATTGTGTAGGTAAATTGAACTTTGTAATAAAAATGTAGAGTGAACTTCTGGTATGAGCATGCTAAAAATGCTGAAAACTTTTTGATGTACATTGAAAATTATTTTTGATTTAAAGAATAAAAATATTTTTAAGTAGAAACTTAATGTGTTCAAACAGAGGATTTTTAATTTAAAGGTAGGAAATTAGCATAAATTTATGATTGAGTGTCTAAATGCTAATCAATTTAAGTAAAACATTGTTGTTATTGATGGTGATATTGCACCCTAAACCTCTCCAGCAAAATTTGTAACCAGAGTGTCCATCAAAACTTGCCAGAGTTCAGAGCCCAGTGAAAATTCAGGCCACTAGGAAGTCTTAAGGAACAATGTGGTAATAGTAGAGGGATTCATTATTTCTAGAACTCTTACTTTATGGCAAACTTCAGGCTTAGAGCTTTGTGTACCTGAACTCACTGAATTCTCACAGCAAATCTATAAAGTTTCTGTTACCTCTACTTTACACATGAGGAAGTTGAGGCACTGGGTCCAAAGTCACACAGATAATAAATGGTACAGTGTTAAATGATATCTAAAGCCCATGTTTTTAAACATTATGGTATAAAGGGGCAAACAAGGAGCAATAACTTAAGGGAAAAGCTTAAATGAAAAATCCAGAGAGGGAGAATTTTGAGAATAACCTCATATGGACAAGAAGACATTTTGATTTTTTGCTTCCAGTTAGTCTGGATGATCTGATCGTGCTCAATCAGGCTATTTATAGTAACCCAAGAATTCTTAAAATACTAGTGATCTTAAGGATGATTGTGTTGAAATGCCCGAATGCATGGCTCCACAGTGGCTAATAATGCAGTGCTTATTATGCATAATATGCCCATTAAGGCTAAAAATAGTATTTGAAAATGTAATATGTTTTAGGTGATAATATATTTATGTGATTCAAAAATGAAAATGTATTTTAAAAGTGTACAGTAAATAGTCTTTCTCCCATCCTAACACCTGTCCACCTAGTTCCCACCCATTATTTTCTTAGTTTCTCATGTACCCCTCCACAGGGACCCATATCTTTCCATAGTATCTCCATGTAGGCAAATATGAGTAAGTATTTTTTCGTTTTCCCCCACAAAGGGAATAGCATATTTACTATTCTACACAAAGACCTTAGAAATGTTTTCATATCAATAATACAAATCTTATTTAAAAAAATATAACTTCATATGATTCTATTATGTGGAAATGACCATAATTTATTTAACCAGTTCCCCACTGATAGGCAGGTGGGACGTTTCCAGTGTTTCCAGCTGTTAGAACCAGGTTGAATTGAATAACCTTGTATGCGTGTCATTTTACCTAAGAATCATAGGATGTATTTCTAATGGGAGAATTGCTGGTCAAGGGTATTCGCATTTGTAATTTTGATAAATGTGGCAAATTGCCTTCCACAGAGGTTGTACCAATTTGCATTACCACCAGCAGTGTATGAGAGAGCTCGCTGATTTGTATCCAAGCTTGTTAATTAAATTTTTGAATTTCTGCCAAACTGATGGATTAAAAATGGTATCAGAAAAAATGGTAATTTTAATCTGCATGTTTCTTATGAGTGAAATTGAAGATCCTTTTATTTGGTTAACAGCCATTTGAATTTTCTTCTTTTTTTGTGAATTATCTTGTAATTTTTTTGTTTGGTTGTTGATCTTTTTCTTACCGATTTCTCAGATAGGTATGTGTAATACAACCAATCTTTTGTCAGTGATGAACTGCAAATATTTTACCCATTTTGCATTTATCTTTACTTTTTTTGATTCTGCTATAATGTTTTATATCAGGCAGGATTTTTATGACTTCTGGGTTTGTAGTCACAGCTAAAAGAGCTCATCCCAAAATTATAAAAAACTTTTTCCCGTGTTTCCTTTGTCACATATATGTTTTCATCATTTACATTTAGAATCTGTCCTCCCTTTGGTATTTATCCTGTCATATGAGGAAAGTATGCCACCCCAAAAATATTTATTGAATTTCCCCACAGTAGTTTTGCCATTTATTAAATTCCTGAATGTATTTAACTTTATTTATGGACATTCTATTATGTCCCATTTATTCATATATTTGCATGCTAATACCACACCATTTTAATTATTGAGGCTTTGAAATGTGTTTTTAATATATGGTAGGGTTAGTCTCAACTCTTTTATTTGCTCTTGTTATGTTTTCCTGGCTCTTCTTTGTTATGAATTGTAGGATTAGTTTATTTATTTAAAAATAAAACTATGAATATATTTAAAACTACATTTAAAAATTATATTGGAAACATCTGATATCTTTATGATGTTGAATCTTCCCAGCATGCTATTTCTTCCAATTTGCTCAAGGTACATTTCCAATCCCTTAGTGTTTTTAAAGTCTTATTTTTCATTTTGTCTTGCACATTTCCTATTAAATTTACTTTTAGTTGTTTTCACTGCTTTTGTAAATGAGATCTTCATTTTATGTCTATCATTTGAGACTGATTTTTAGTTGATTTTTATTTTTCTAGGTCTGAAATATTACTGGCAAACAATGTTAATTTTGTTTTCTCTCTGCCAAAGTTTATGCTTTAATTTATTTTTGTATTTCATTTAGTCATTTTGCAACTATTTATTGATGTCTTATGAAACAAGTATTGTTTTAGATCTTTGGAACAGATTAGATGAAATTCTTCTCAGCATTTCTACAGTAGTAAGGGAAAATATAAAAAAGCAATAAACACAATAAGTAAGAAAAATTATAATACGCTGAATATGATAAATGATTAAAAAATTCCAGAACAGGATAAAGGTATTGGGCCTACCAGAATAAGACAGGTGCAATTTGAGATGAGATGATCAGGGTCCTTCTCACTGAGAAGGTCAATCTGAGCAAAGGCCTGAAGGATGTGAAAGAGTGAGCCCTACGCTGGCTAGTGCTTTCAGCAGGATGTAATCATGAAGATCAAGGGCATATGCCTTATTTCATACTTCAGTGGAAATGGGTTCACACTGTTTCTCTGTCATTCCTGGGACAGTCTTTGAATAGCCAAGATAGATACATTTTCTCATGTTATGGAATTACCCATTGCTTCTTATTTTAGTGTTTTATCTAGAAAGTTTATTGAAATTTATCAGATGACCATGTGATTTTCTCCTTAATCTATTAACATAATACCATGAATTATATATGATGTATATGTACCTATTTTGAATTGTTCTTGCATTTCCGGTCAAAGTGAATTA